AGAAATCAAAGAGGAAATCAAAAAATACCTAGAGACAAATGACAGTGAAACTACGACGATCCAAAGCCTATGGGATGCAGCCACAAGCAGTTCTAAGAGGGAAGTTTATACCAATACCAGCCTATCTCAAGAAACAAGAAAAATCTCAAATAAACAATCTAAACTTACACCTAAAGGAACTAGAGAAAGAAGAACAAACAAAACCCAAAGTTAGTAGAAGGAAAGAAATCATAGATATCAGAGCAGAAATAAATGAAATAGAAACAAAGAAAACAATAGCAAAGATCAATAAAACTAAAAGCTGGTTCTTTGAGAAGATAAACAAAATTGATAAACCTTTAGCCAGACTCATCAAGAAAAAGAGAGGACTCAAATCAATAAAATTAGAGGGGCTTCCCTGGTGGCGCAGTGGTTGAGAGTCTGCCTGCCAATGCAGAGGACACAGGTTGAGCCCTGGTCTGGGAGGATCCCACATGCCACGGGGCAACTAGGCCCGTGAGCCACAACTGCTGAGCCTGCACGTCTGGAGCCTGTGCTCTGCAACAAGAGAGGCCGCGACAGTGAGAGGCCCGCACAGTGCAATGAAGAGTGGCCCCCACTTGCCGCAACTAGAGAAAGCCCTCGCACAGAAGCGAAGCCCCAACACAGCCAAAAATAAATAAATAAATAACTTTAAAAATAAAATAAAATAAAATAAAATTAGAAATGGAAAAGGAGAAGTTACAACGGACACCGTGGAAATACAAAGCATCACAAGAGACTAGTACAAGCAACTCTGTGCCAATAAAATGGACAACCTGGAAGAAATGGACAAATTCTTAGAAAGGTATAACCTTCCAAGACTGAACCAGGAAGAAATCGAAAATATGAACAGACCAATCACAAGGAATGAAATTGAAACTGTGATTTAAAATCTTCCAACAAACAAAAGTCCAAGACCAGATGGCTTGACAGGTGAATTCTATCAAACATTTAGAGAAGAGCTAACACCCATCCTTCTCAAACTCTTCCACAAAATTGCAGAGGAAGGAACACTCCCAAACTCATTCTATGAGGCCACCATCACCCTGATACCAAAACCAGACAAAGATGCTACAAAAAAAGAAGATTATATACCAAAATCACTGATGAATATAGGTGCAAAAATCCTCAAAAAACTACTAGCAAACAGAATCCAACAACACATTAAAAGGACCATATACCATGATCAAGTGGGATTTATCCCAGGGATGCAAGGATTCTTCAATATACGCAAATCAACGTGATCCACCATATTAACAAACTGAAGGAGAAAAACCACATGATCATCTCAACAGATGCAGAGAAAGCTTTTGACAAAATTCAACACCCGTTTATGATAAAAACTCTCCAGAAAGTGGGCAGAGAGGGAACCTACCTCAACATAATAAAAATAAAAACATATACGACAAATCCAGAGCAAACATCATTCTCTACAGTGAAAAACTGAAAGCATTCCCTCTAAGATAAGGAACAAGACAAGGATGTCCACTCTCACCACTATTACTCAACATAGTTTTGGAAGTCCTAACCACGGCAATCAGAGAAGAAAAAGAAATAAAAGGAATACAAATTGGAAAAGAAAAAGTAAAAGTGCCACTGTTTGCAGATGGCATGATACTATACATAGAGAATCCTAAAGATGCCACCAGAAAACTACTAGAGCTAACAAATGAACCTGGTAAAGTTGCAGAATACAAAATTAATGCACAGAAATCTCTTGCATTCTTATATACTAGCAACGAAAGACCACAAAGAGAAATAAAGGAAACAATCCCATTCACCATTGCAACAAAAAGAATAAAATACCTAGGAATAAACCTACCTAAGGAGGTAAAAGACCTGTATACAGAAAACTATAAGACACTGACAACAGAAATCAAAGATGACACAAACAGATGGATAGATATACCATGTTCTTGGATTGGAAGAATGAATATTGTGAAAATAACTGTACTACCCAAAGCCATCTACAGATTCAGTGAAATCCCTATCAAATTACCAGTGGCATTCTTTACAGAACTAGAACCAAAAATCTTAAAATTTGTATGGAGACACAAAAGACCCCAAATAGCCAAAGCAATTTTGAGGGAAAAAAATGGAGCTGGAGGAATCAGGCTCCCTGACTTCAGACTATACTACAAAGCTACAGTAATCCAGACAATATGGTACTGGCACAAAAACAGAAATATAGATCAATGGAACAGGATAGAAAGCCCAGAGAAAAACCCATGCACCTATGGTCAACTAATCTATGACAAAGGAGGAAAAGATATACAATGGAGAAAAGACAGTCTCTTCAATAAGTGGTGCTGGGAAAACTGGACAGCTACATGTAAGAGAATGAAATTAGAACACTCCCTAACACCATACACAAAAATAAACTCAAAATGGATTAGAGACCTAAATGTAAGACAAGACATTATAAAACCCTTAGAGGAAAACATAGGAAGAACACTCTTTGACATAAATCACAGCCAGATCATTTTTGATCCACCTCCCAGAGTAACGGAAATAAAAATAAACAAGTGGGACCTAATGAAACTTAAAAGCTTTTGCAAAGGAAAGGAAACTACAAACAAGACAAAAAGACAACTCTCAGAATGGGAGAAAATATTTGCAAACCAATCAACAGACAAAGGATTAATCTCCAAAATATATAAACAGCTCATGCAGCTCAATATTAAAAAAACAAACAACCCAATCAAAAAATGGGCAGAAGACTTAAATAGACATTTCTCCAAAGAAGACATACAGATGGCCAAGAAGCACATGAAAAGATGCTCAACATCACTAATTATTAGAGAAATGCAAATCAAAACTACAATGAGGTATCACCTCACATCTGTCAGAATGGGCATCGTCAGAAAATCTACAAACAACAAATGCTGGAGAGGGTGTGGAGAAAGGTAACCCTCTCGCACTGTTGGTGGGAATGTAAATTGATACAGCCACTATGGAGAACAGTATGGAGGTTCCTTAAAAAACTAAAAATAGAATTATCATACGACCTAGCAATGCCACTACTGGGCATATTACCCAAAGAAAACCGTAAATCAAAAAGACACATGCACCCCAATGTTCACTGCAGCACTGTTTACAATAGCCAGGTGATGGAAGCAACCTAAATGCTCACTGACAGACGAATGGATAAAGAAGATGTGGTACATATATACAATGGAATATTACTCAGCCATAAAAAGGAACGAAACTGGGTCATTTGTAGAGATGTGGATGGATCTAGAGACTGTCATACAGAGTGAAGTAAGTCAGAAAGAGAAAAACAAATATCATATATTAACGCATATATGTGGAACCTAGAAAAATGGTACAGATGAACTGGTTTGCAGGGCAGAAATAGAGACACAGATGTAGAGAACAAATATATGGACACCAAGGGGGGAAGTGGCAGGGGGGACGGTGGTGGGATGAATTAGGAGATTGGGATTGACATGTACACACTAATATGTATAAAACAGATAACTTATAAGAACCTGCTGTATAAAAAATAAATAAAATAAAATTCAAAACTTCAAATAAGTAAATAAATAAACTCTGTTCATTCCCTGTCCTCTACAGGGGACATGTGCTCTGGTCTAGCAGCTCCCTGACCCTTCTGTGTACCCATGCCCCATCTCAGCACAAACACAGAAGTGCCCTGTATGGATCTGAGCCCCTCCTGCTCCACGTGCCAGACACATGGCCCTCGGAACCCTGTCTTCAGCCTGCTGTGCCCCTCAGCATGAGGCCTTTGCACACAGTCAGTGCTAAGAAGTCAGTGCTGCCACATATCCCCAGTGTCCGCCTCACCTAGGCACGTCTGTGCGGTTTAAAATCGAGTTCACGTGTTTCTTCTTCAGGGAAGCCTCTTCCAGACCCTGACCAGGTAAGGTTTTCACTTCTTTGTTTTCAAGGCTCCCTGCGCTTTTCTGAGATACTCAGCATAGCTCAAATGATTTCTCTCTTTTTCTTTCTTTTTATTTTCAGCTGCACCACGCGGCTTACAGAACCTTAGTTCCTCAACCAGGGAATGAACCTGGGCCCTGGCAGTGAAAGCGTCGAGTCCTAACCACTAGGGCAGCAGGGAATTCCCTTTGGCTCATTTTCTTCACTTCTTTCTCGCCATAAGCTGTCCCACACTGTATCACCAGCGCCAGGTCTGGAGTGGAGATCCCATACACAAGCCCAGAAGGAGGACTGTGCTGTAAGGGGAGGGCTGCCAGCACTGGTGACAGATGCTGAGACAGACATTCCTCCCTTGAGTGCTTCCCCGCATCCTATCCCACCAGCACCCTTAACACTCCCTGCTGCTACCTCCTGGTACCACCCACAAGGTCAACTATTTTCTGAAAAGGTGATAATCACTTAGATTTTCAATGCCTCTCAGAGAAATTTACTTTACAAAATGTATATTTAAGTGGCCTCCCTGTTCAACCACTAGAAATATTCTAACATATTCCAATTTCACTTAAAAGAACCTTCATTGTGGCCCCTAAAGGCCCAACCCGATCTCCCCACTAAGGTCCCTGTCTCATCTAATACTTCTCTCCCCGACAGACAAGCGACCACACCGACCTCCTCAGCTACTAGATGAATGACAAGTGGTCAGAGCCCTCTGAAGTCACAGTTTGCTTCCCCAGTTCTGCTGTGCCACCTGTCTTTAAGGCACACTGACAAGTTTGCCATGACACAGATGTCAAAACTAGCAAAATGCCCCCTGCCCTGCTACCCAAGGGTGCACTCTCCTTAGCTGCTTCAGCCTAGCTCCTCCAAGTGTGATAAGCAGCAGCGCAAGCCTCGCCCTGGGCTTGTCTGAGATGCAGACTCTCAGGCCTGGTCCACATCCACTGAATGGGAGTATATGTTTAATAAGGTCCCTGTGGTGCAAAGCACTTTGACAAACATTTGTTTGGAGTCACTTAAAAACACAAAGCGTCTCCTATATGTGAGAATTCATGTTAAAAATAGAGCTTATTTCTCACCTGACGCAACAACAGTGCTTGCCCACAAGGTATTTTCTATGCTGAGACTTTCATGAATGGGTGGATCACTATCTTCCTGTTCAAGGAGAGAAAAGTAAGAAAAAAGCAAATTAGCAACTTTTTTATCACTCGTACTTCAGATATCCACAGTGTTAAAAACAAGTCCACCAGCTGGATCCAGCTAACAGGCAGTGAAAAGGCAGTGAAAAATAGGGGTAAAAGACAGGAATTTACACAGAGGATTCTGGGATGATGGCAGAGCAAGAAGCACCAGGAATGGCCCCCAACCTGGACCGCAACTACAGGGACAGAATCTGTCTGATGTAACTAATTTGGAATCCAGAGCTGGTGAAGGCTTACAACTTCCAGGGGAAGCGCTGGATGGTTACTGCAGTCAATCGTGGTGACTTTCAGGTCTTAGCACGTAGCACCTACCCGTCCCACCCTCAGCCACATGGCAGGAGGCCATACACGTGTTTCTAGAGCAGCTTGCAGAAGCCAGCCAGGGTGGACCAAAAGGACCTTGTCCTCCAATATCAGGAATCTGTGCTCTGACGCTGCTTAAGATGGCAGAGATGCAGCCAAAGAGGCAGGTGGCCATTGTTGCCACACCTCCCCCCTTGTTGCAAACCCCTCCCCCACCAAGTGGATTTCAAGGGCGAGTGCCCTGTTTATCCCCCTTTGTTTTTCTCTTTTTCCCCTTTTGGAAGACAGATATTAAAGACTAGGACATTCAAAAACAACTGCATATACACGAAAAAACAGAAAATGATGGCACATGACCAAGGAAAGGCTCAGAAAAGACATAAGAGAGCATTAAGTTTATACCTCAGGCTGATCCTCAGCAGAGAGAGAGCCTACCACAATCAAAAAAAATAAAATAAAGTAAACAAAAGCAATGACAGAAACCCAACGAACCCTGGTTTTGACTTCTGGAGTTACCACATTATTATATTCAAATGTACTGTGTTCAACAAAAAAATAACAAGGCATAAAAACCAACAGAAAGGTATGGTCCTTTCAAAGGAAAAATATAAATCAACAGAAACTATCCTTGAAAACGATCCGATGGCAGTTATACTAGACAAAGATTTTAAAAGAAAAATATTAAAGATGTTCAAAGACATAAAGATGTGGAGAGAGTCAAGAAAACAATGTATGAACAAAGCGGAAATGTGAATGAAGAAATAGAAAACCCAAACAGAAACCAAAAGAAATTCAAGAGCTGAAAAGTACGATGAGCAAAATGAAAAATTCACTAAAGGGCTTGAAGGCAGTTTTGAGCAGAGAGAAGAAAGAATTAGTGAACCTGAAGGCAGGACAATGGAAATTACTGAGGCTGAGAAAGAGAAAGAAAGGAGATTCTGAAGAAAGTTGAAAGGGCCTAAGGGATCCGCAGGACAGAAGAAAAGCGAACCAGTATACTCACTGTGGAAATCCCAAAAGAAGAAGAGAGAGCTAAAGGGGCAGAGAGACTATTTGAAGAAATAATGGCTGAAATCCCCCAAAGTTAATGAAAGACATGAATGTAAGTATTCAAGAAGCTCATTCAAATCCATGTAAGAACTGTACGAGACCCACACCAAGACACATTATAATCAAACTTTCAAAGGGCAAGGAAAAAGAGAGTCTTAAATAGCAAGAAAGAAGTGAATCGTCACATACAAGCAGTCCTCAATAAAATGATTAGCAGATTTCTCATCAGAAGCTATCGAGGCCAGAAGGCAAGTGCACTGGTATAGACAAAGTGCTAAAAGAAAAAGAACTGTCAACCAAGAATCCTATATCCAGCAAAACTGTCCTTCAAAAGTGAGGGAGAAATCAAGACATTCCCAGATAAACAAAAGCTGAGGAACACTGTAAATCAACTATACTCCAATAACAATTTTTTAAAAAATGCATGCTTAGCCAAATTGGGGAGCGGGGGAGAAGCTGAGGGGAGCTGGTGACCACTGGACCTTCCGGGCAAGAAGTGCTGCTCAAGGGAGTCCTGAAGACTGAAATAAAAGGACACTAGACAGTCTTCAAAACCACGTGGAGAATTAAAGATCTCAATGCAGATGAGTAATTATAAACGTAAATATCATTGTAACAATGGTTTGTAACTGTACTCTTTCTTCTCTACATGATTTAAGAGACTAATATATTTAGAGAAAAGAAGCAAGTTATTATTCTAAAAGCTAGTATTATTTTAACTTTGGTTTGTAACTCGAAATCTTATTTCTACATAATTTAAGACACTCATGCATTTAAAAGAATTATTAGTTTATAGTTTTAGGACACAATATATAAAGATATAATTTTGTGACAATGACAACTGAAAGAGGTGAGGAAAGAGCTGTAAAGGAGCAGAGTTTTAATATGTTATTGAACTTAACTTGGTGTAAATTCAAGTTAGAGTGTTATAACTTCAGGGTGTTAAATGTAATCCCCATGGTAACCAAAAAGAAAACAGCTACAGAATATACTCAAAAGGAAATGAGAAAGAAATTTAAACATTTCACTGTAAAAGAAAAAAATCAATGAAACACAATACAAGACAGTAATGCAGGAAATGAGAGACAATAAAACTATAGGCCATATAGAAAACAAATAGTCCAATGACAGAAATAAATTGCTCCTTATCACTAATTACTTCAAATATAAATGGATTAAACTCACCAATCACAAGACAGATATTGGCAGAATGGATAAAAACAAATGATCCAACTATATGCTATCTACAAGAGACTCACTTTAGATCCAAGGACACAAAGAAGTTGAAAGTTAAAGTATGGGAAAAGATATTCCCTGCAAACAGTGAGCAAAAGAGAGCAGGGGTGGCTATACTAATGTCAGAAAAAACAGATGTTAAATCAAAAAGGATCACAAGAGACATTATGTATTAATTAAATGTTCAATAAGGCAAAAAGATATGATAATTATACACTATTATGCTCCCAATAAAAGACAATATATGAAGCAACAATTGATAGAATTGAAGGGAGAAACAGTTGAAGACTTTCATATCCCACTCACAGTTATGGGTAGAACAACCAGACTGAAGTAAGGAAATAGAGAACTTAACACAATAAGCCAACTAGATCTAACAGACATATATAGAACACTCCACACAACAACAGCATACACATTGTTCTCAAATGCATATGGGGTATTTTCTAAGATACACCTTATGTTAGCCCACAAATTAAGTCTCAATAGATTTTAAAAAATAGATATCATACAAAGTATCTGTATCTACTCCAACCATGACAAGATGTAGTTAGAAATAATAACAGAAAATTCACAAAATTGTGGAAATCAAACAACATTCTTTTTAAAAGACAATGAATTAGGGAGGGGGAAGGGTAAGCTGGGACGAAGTGAGAGAGTGGCATGGACATATATACACTACCAAATGTAAGGTAGCTAGCTAGTGGGAAGCAGCCACACAGCACAGGGAGATCAGCTCGGTGCTTTGTGACCACCTAGAGGGGTGGGATAGAGAGGGTGGGAGGGAGGGAGATGCAAGAGGGAGGAGATATGGGGATATACGTATATGTATGGCTGACTCACTTTGTTATACAGCAGAAACTAACACACCATTGTAAAGCAATTATACTTCAATAAAGATGTTAAAAAAAAACCAATGAATTAAAATGAAAAGGGAAATTAGAAAATACTTAGAGACAAATGACAAGGAAAATATAATTTATAAAAACCCATGGGATGCAGCATAAGTGGTGCTAAGGGGGAAATTTATAGCTTATATAATTTATAACAAATTATAATTGTTTAAATTCCAAAACAGGAAAGATCTCAAATCAACAACCTAACTTTAGAACTTAAGGAACTAGAAAAAGAAGAACAGACTAAACCCCAAGTTAGCAGAAGGAAGGTAAAAATAAAGAACAGAGCAGAGATAAACAAAATAAAGAACAGGAAAAATTAATAAATATGAAAGTTACTTCTTCAAAAAGATCAACAAAATGAAAAACCTTTGGCTAGATGGACTAAGAAAAAAAGGAAGACTCAAATTACTAAAATCAGAAATGAAAGTAGGGATATTACTATGATTCTAACAAAATAAAAAGCATTATAAGAGAGTATTATGAACAACCATATGCTAACAAACAGGATAACCGAGGTGACATGGACAAATTCCTAAAAAACACAAAATCTACCAAGACTAATCATGGAGAAATAAAAAAACTAAACAGACCTATACCTCGTAGAGATTAAATCAATACTCAAAAATCTCCTGACAAAGAAAATCCCTAGATCTGATGACTTCACTGGTGAAATCTACCAAAAATTTAAAGAATTAATATTAATCTTTCTCAAATTATTCCAAAAAATTGAAGAGGAAGGACACTTCCTAACTCACTCTTTGAGGCCAGCGCAACCCTCATATCAAAGCCAGACTAAGAGACTACTAGAAAAGTAAACTACAGACCAATATCTTCTATGAACAATGATGCAAAAATCCTGTACAAAATACCAAAAAAACAAATTCAGCAGCATATTAAAAGGATTAAACTCTGTGACCAAGTGAGATTTATTCCTGAAATGCAACGATGGTTCAACATATATATCAATCAACAAAATACATCACATTAACAGAATGAAGAGAAAAATTCCACACGATCATCTCAATTGACGCAGAAAACATATTTGCCAAAATTCAACACCCTTTTATGATAAAAAACATTCAACACGCTAGGAATAGAAGGGAACTAACTACCTCCACATAATAAAAGCCATACATGAAAAACCCACTGGGTACACAATACCAAATGGTGAAATACTAAAACCTTTTCCTCTAAGATCAGAATGTCTGCTGTCACCACAATTATTCAACATACTATATAATACTGGAAGTTCTAGCCACAGCAGTTGTACAGGAAAGAGAAATAAGAGGCACAATTTGGAAAGGAAGATGTAAAATTATCTCTGTTTGCAGATGTTACGATCGTATATGTAGAAAATCCTAAAGAGTTCACAAAAAAATGGTTGGATCTAATAAATGAATTCAGCAAGGTAGCAGAATACAAACTCATCATGCAAAAATCACTTGCGTTTCTATATATGAACGATCTGAAAAAGAAATTACAAAAACAATTCCACTTATAATAGCACCAAAAACAATAAAATATTTAGGAATTAATTTAACCAAGGAAGTGAAAGATTTGTACAATGAAAACTACAAAATATTTCCAAAAGAAAGTAAAAAAGACATAAATAAATGGACACGCATCCCATGTTCATGGATGAGAAGACTAAATATTGTTAGTATGTCAGTATTACCCAAAGTGATTTACAGATTCAATGCAATCCCTTATCAAAATCCCAATGACATATTTTTCAGGAATAGAAAAATCCATTCTAAGATTCATATGGAATATCAAGGGAACTGAAATATCCAAAACAATCTCGAAAAAGAAAAACTAAACTGGAGGGCTCATACTTTCTGATTTGAAAATGTAATACAAAGTTACAGTAATCAAAACAGTATAGTGCTGCCTAAAGACAGACATATAGACCAATGGAATAAAGTGGAGAGCCCAGGAAAAAACCCTTGCATATAAGGTTAAATGTTTTGACAAGGGTGCCAAGACCACCCAATGGGGAGAGGACAATCTTTTCAACAAATGATGCTGACAAAACTGGATATCCGTATGCCAAGGATGAAGTTACCCTTCCCTAACAATATATACAAAAATAACTCAAAAGGGATCAAAGATCTAAATGCAAGACTTACAATAATAAAACACTTAGAAGAAAACGTAGGACAAAAGCTTCATGATATTAGGTTTTGCAACGATTTTTTGGATATGACAGCAAAGTCACAAGTAACAAAGGAGAAAATAAACAAACTGGACTTCATGAAGATCAACGAATTTTGTGCTTCAAAGGCACTATCAACAGAGTAAAAGGCAACTCACAGAACGGAAGAAAATACGTACAAATCAAGTCCCTGAGAAGGAATTAATATCCAGAATATATGGAGAACTCCTAAAACTCAACAAAAAACCCAAACAACCCAATTTGAAAATGGGCAAAGGACTTGAATAGACATTTCTCCAAAGAAGGTATACAAATGGCCATAAAGGACATGAAAAGATGCTCAACACTGCTAATCACTAGTAAAGTGCAAATCAAAACCAAAATGAGGTAACTTCTCAAACCCAGTAACATGGCTACTATCAGAAAATCAGAAAACAACAAGTTCTGGTGAGGATGTGGAGAAACTGGACTCTCTGTTCACTGCTGGTGAGAATGTAAAATAGTATAACCGCTGTGGAACTGCTTTTGGCAGTTCCACAAAAATTGAAAATAGAATTATCATATGATCCAGAAATTCCACTTCTGGGTATATCCTTGAAAGAACTAAAAGGAGGGTCTCAAAGATATATCTGTATTCCCACATTCATAGCAGCATTATTCACAACCGCTAAAACACAGAAGCAACCCTACCTGTCCACACAGGTGGGGTGCTATTCCTCAAGAAACAATTCACTTTAGGATTATAAACTGGTGTTTCTTTTAACTGTGCCTTAGTTATATCATCTGTAAATAGGAGAGTTCTTCAATTCATTCAGATGTGTATCTGGTATCTGAATATACACCAAGCCCTGTATTAGAAACTGGAGCTATGAGAAGAAGTAAGACAGCCATTCACCTAAGTAGTTTCTGGTTTCATGTGAGAGCTAAACGAGCACACAACAATGACAACATAGAGCCCCAAGGGCAAATATAAAGGCAGGCAGAAGTGCAACGATATCAAAGAAAAGGGAATATAAGGAAGCCTTCCAAATGATGGTACTTAAACTGGATCTTGAAATGCAGGAGCTCCACAGACAGCCCTTGATTAAAGGGGTTTGTCTACTCCATACTCTGAAGCCAGCACACGGCCATTCTCTGTTTCTGCAGACACACACACACTTTTGCCTTCATTTCAAAGTCCCTTAGGAGTTACAGTTTGTCAAGTAAAATATGTTACACTTGCTGCATTTAGTAGTTTTAGCTTAAAAATATCTATTGATAATTATATGGCTGCATCAATATAGAAAATACTAAGGAAATATATACCTTAAGCGGCGAAAAAAATGAGGCTTATATTATTCCAGTTGTACGTACATGGGAAACAATTTGAAGGGGAAGAGTCAAAAGAATAATATGACTATTTATATTAGGATGGTAAGGCTATAAAAATTTTAAATACCTTTAACCTTTTTATTTTTATATAGTTTGATACTAATGGTGATAATATATTTATAAATTTCCAAATATATCAGGAATCAAATCAAGCTCTCGCCCAGTGGCTCCCACACCATCATTACAGTCTTCACAACACAGGAGCTTATCCAAGTCCTTGGCCGCAGCGCTCCAGCACCCTTCCCTGTTTCTTCCACAGAAAACTGTCTGGCAGGGAACCACCCTGTGCTTACAACCAGGGTAGCCTTTCAAGGTAAAGAGATAAAAGCTGCCTAACTCAGAAATAGATAATCCAGGAATACTGAGTTTTCCCTTTGACTTTAATGGTTTTATAGAACAAAGTATCAACTCTAAAAAGAGAGAAGTAGGTGGCTATACCAAAACACCATAATAATGAAGAGAATGTAGAATGAAACACACATATGTATATAAGGAAATGGACGTGCACATACAGATATCCATCCAACCAGTTAATAAAAATCAAGAGATGATGTGGATATCATAATGTATTAATGATTATCCAAAATCAAAACTGAATTAGTTGAATTACTTTCATTTTACTGACTCATAATATTTTAAGGGAAAAGGATCTTATCAAGAATAAATATGCTGGGACTTCCCTGGTGGCGCAGTGGTTAAGAATCCGCCTGCCAATGCAGGGGACATGGGTTTGGTCCCCTGTCCGGGAAGATCCCACATGCCGCAGAGCAACTAAGCCCGTGTGCCACAGCTACTGAGCCTGCGCTCTAGAGCCCGCGAGCCATAACTACTGAGCCCGCGTGCCACAACTACTGAAGCCCACGTGCCTAGAGCTCACGCTCTGAAACAGAAGCCGCCACACCGCAACGAAGAGCAGTCCCCGCTCACTGCAACTAGAGAAAGCCCGTGCACAGCAACAAAGACCCAACGCAGCCACAAATAAATTAATTAATTTTTTTTTAAAAAGAGTAAATATGCTAAAAATAGAAAAACTGTACTGAATGTACCCCCAAAGAAATATTTGCTATAGGAAAATTTAAGAACTTGAAACATTCTCTAGGTCTTCACTTTTTAGTTCAGAACTTGTTTGAATTGATTCATGATTTAATTACTTTTTCAAAATAAGGTTTGCTACTTTTAACTTACACAGTGAATATATTTGTGTTTAACAAAAGACTTAACTTACCCTGGTAAATGTGCCTTCAAAACTATGAATATCCAGTTGTGGCTTCTGAGCATAAACATAAGCATTGATAGAAAAAAGGTCCTGGAAAACAGAATATCTGAATTAATTCCATAATAATTAAACAAAATGACTTGGAAATATTCCAATTACCAATTAATACTTTTCATATCTTATTTACCAAAAGTGACGGTTTTCTTATGTTTTGTTGCCAACGCTACAGATGAGGATGGAAGAGAACTCAAAGGAACAGTTTTTAAGGCCAACAGAGGTGTGCGGACTCTCCCGACTCCAATGGACAACTGCTACCCCCTGGCAGGTTGTGTCAGAAGCAGCCGGTGACGCTTATAAGACACATGGCACCAAGGCAGCCCCGCGGGCCGTGCACTGCCCGCAAGCCTGCCCTACCTCCGGAGACTCACCTAACGCTGCGGTCTGATTACTAAGAGCGCTGTCCCAGCAAGGGGGTGACCTGTCCTGGGCCACGCCCAAGATTAACGCTCAGGATGGAAGGGGTGGGAGCTATGGAGAGCCATCTGAAAAAGTCTGAGGATTCAGTGTTCTTCTTGACCAAATCCTGAACACGGTGTGTCTTCCTGGTTAAGTTATAGGAAAATATTTTCCTGCAAAAAATACTTTGTTTCTTGCCTAAAAACCCTTCCAGCTGAAAGGCCTGGGGAGGAAGGGATGGCTGAAGAGACAGTTAGGATTGCCGCCTGGTGCACGAGGATCCTGTGATGACAGAAGGAACAAAGCCCTGACCCTGGGGAGGAGCAGAGAGAGGACAAGATCACCCGAGCCTCCCACAAGCGTCCGCAGGCTCCCCTCCCGCTGAGGAAACCCGCACTGCCCTGACAGCTTCTGCCAGAGGCTGGCGCCTGAAACCCAAAGGGGCCGCGGGGCACACCTGACAGCTCGGGCTCCTCGGTGACGGTGCACGGGCACTGCTTCAGCCCTCTCAAAGGGCTCACCGACACCAAGCGTGCAGGCTGGTCTCACCCAGCGGCGCCAGGTCTAAGGATAACAATGCTGCGTATACTTTTGCTGCAAATACGCCCCGGCCAAGCGAGTGGGCTGTGCAGAAAGCTTAACACAGCAGGCCCGAGAAAGCCCTGCTTGCAAGGCTGGCCCTTGGCTGGGGTCTGGGAATGTGGATCCCAGGAGAGCTGCCGCCCTTCCCAGATAAGAGAGTGTGCCTAGATCACTTATTCAAGCAACGTGGCTCATTTCCTTCTTGCGGGGGGCGGGGCATATGGGGCTGCATCTGGCATGTGGTGCGTGCCAGGCAGCGGGTGCCTCCGGGCCCAGCCCCCAGCAAAGGCCCTGTGAGTCTCTAAAGCGCCTCCCTGGTAGAAACTACTACCCACGTGTCCCCACATTATGTTGGGGACCCTCAGCGTGTCCTGCGCAAGTCCCCTGGGAGGGGAGTCTGGAAGCTCTTGCCTGCTTTCCTGCGATGTCGCCCTGCACCTGTTCTCTGTGCTGACTGCTCTGAGCCCTTTCACTGTAACCACTCACGGCCACGAGGAGGACAAGACGCTGAGCCCTGGGAGCCCTCCGAGAGAATCATCAAAACTGGGGGGGCCTGGAGGATCCCCCGACACAGACAGTTTGCCATTTTTATAGGTTTCGTTTCTGTTTCCTGTTTTGTTTTGGTTTTGCCTCATGGCTGCTAACACTTAGAAAACACAGCCTTCCAGACATGAAGAACAAAGATCAGACCACAGATGCTGACGCATGAGAGGAACGGGAGGCCTGAGGGGGCCACAGTGCTGTGAGCGCTCTGACGCTCAGCCCGAGCCGCTCGTGCAGGCAGGTTTCAGGCAGTCCGGCTCAGCCAGAAGAAAGGAACAAAGACCTCCGCGGCTCCTCACAGAAGGGAAGACGGAGCTGGCAGTCTGACTTCAGTCAGTTAACCACCAGTCAAAACAAAACCAAACAAAAACCCCAATGCTCTTTAGAAGAACATCATAGAATCCAGAGTCTCTACAATGCATCAGTAATGTTGAAGATCCAATCAAAATGTCCAGACATAGGAGGAAATGAGAACACGGGATCCACATTCAAGTAGAGTCCAATCAAAGAAGACTAACTCTGAGATGACTAGACATCAGAATTAAGAGATGAGAATTTCAAAACAGTTACTAGAACATCTCAAATTTTTAAAGGAAAACATTCTTCTAGACAATAAACAAACAGGAAACCACAGCAGAATAAAAGAAAGCACGTATACAAAAAAAGAACCAACTGGAAATTCTAGAATTGAAAAAAATACATCTGAAATAAATTCATTAGATGGCTTAACAGCAGACTGGAGAACAGAGTCTGTGAACTTGAAGACGGGTCAAGAGATGACGAATCTGAAGAACGCAGAGGACAGAGAACCTGAAGATGAGTGTGGCCGCAGTGACCCTGAGAGAACAGCAGGAGTTTGCTTGCAGTTGGGTTCCTGGAAGCAGCACACAGAGAGAATGAGGAAGAAAAGGTATTTGAAGAAACAATGACTGAAAAATATGCCAAACTGGCTGACAGCCATAGATGTGCAGATTCAGGAAGCCCAGCGAACCCCTAGACAGATGAGTAAAATTTAAAACAATCAAAGTCACAGCTTAATAAGAGACCAAAGATAGAGAAAAATCTCAAAAATACCTAGAGAAAAATGACACATTACATGCAGGCAAAAACTAGCAAAATCACACTGATTTCTCATCCAAATAATGAAAGCAGAACACAATGGAACACAATATTTAAAGTGCTGTGGGGAGAAAAAACTGGTCGACCCTGAATTCAATATTCAGCAAAAATATACTTCAGGAAAACAGGACAGGTGAAACTAAGATATTTTCGGATAAATGAAAATGAGAACTCACTGCTAGCAGACACACACTACAAGAAACGCTAACGGAAGTTCTTTAGGCTGAAGGGAAATGATATCCAGGAGAAACTCAGATCTTTAGAAAGGAACGGTAAGGAACAAACATGGTTAATATCAAAAGAAAAACAAAAATCCTGTCTTTTCGCTTTACTTCTTTAAGATACAGATAAAACAGAATAGTTTATGATATATGTAGATATACTGCGTATAAAAAAAAGTATATAAATGCATACAAATATATATGCACACAAAAATGTGCAATGTGCTTCAGCGCCAAAAATGAGTGGGGTAAATTCAATTACAAGGTTCTTAATTTAATGTGAAGTGACACAACGTTACGTTGTCACCCTACACTTTTAGTTAAATGCATATTGCCATCTCTAGCCAAGTAGTAAAAAAATGCAAAGAGGTAGAGTAGCTGAAAAGCCTATGAACAAAGCAAGTCAGCTTTCTAAATATATTCAAGTAACCTAAGACTGAGGAAGGGCCACCTGAGACCCCCGAGCGGCTGAAGGCCTGAGGGCTGAGAGGAAGGGGCCAGCAGAGGGAGAGGCCAGGAGAAGGCACGGCAGGGACTAACCCGCAGGTGGAGGTCTCGAAAGCAGGGTGAGGCGAAGGCGGCGGAAGACTTCCCTTCAGACAGGAGAGGGGACAAGGCTTCGCTGTACCAGCAGGTGGGGGCTGAAGTGCTGGGAGGGTGGGAAATGGAGGGAGGGGATTTCCATTCGATATCATGCTTTTTCTCTGCAAGGTAAGATCATCTGATGAGAGAAAGGCGGGTGGATCAGAAATTACAGGAGAGTGGAAAAGTGGGAGAGCACTGCTGTGGCAAAGAGGAGCCCCAGCTGACCACACACACAGAGGACGACAGGCTGGCAGTGACAGGGCTTTCCCTGTCTTGTCTCTGGTGATGGTTTCACTGGTGTGGCGAAGAGCACGTTTAATTCTGGGCAGTTTCTTGGAGCCAATTTTACCTCGGGACAGTTAACAACACGCAGAGGAGGAGGACAGGTGGTGCTGAGGGCCAAGCTAGACCCGGAAGTGCCACTCTGCTTCCCCTGTTGAGCCACGTGCCTGTCCTGATATTCGATGGACCTCTGCCATCACGTGTCTTGCCAAGAGGTCTTACTCTGCTCTTGATCTTTTCTCGCAGCTCCTGTCTGGACTGTAATGTCCTCAGATTTCTTACAGCGACCTCGAGACCTGCCTTCATTCCCTCTGCTCCTGCCGCCCCGCATTCACAGAGGCTCAGGGCTCGGCTGACACAGGTCTTGCCTTACCGGCCACCCACCGGCTCTCAGGAGGGGCAGCTGGCTGTGGGCTCTTCCCTGGGAGAGCTCCTCTGCCAGGGGAGCCCTGCCTGATGGGCTGTCTGGAAAGCTCCATCCCTTCAAGAAAACATTGTTCAACAGAGAACAGGCAACACTCTACAACTGATATGGCTTCTCTCCTTCCTAGAAGACATACGCACGATTTGGCAGTTTACATTTCATTTATTTCCTACTCTAACGTAGGTGAGGGACATACAAGTTTCCATGCTGCTTCAAGCTCCTTGGAGAACAAGTGGGAAATAACTGATTCTAATAAAAATGGTAATCGTAACCACAGTTCTAAATGGAGCAGCCTGCTCTGAGGGCAGTAAAATCCTCCAGGAGAACCAACGGAGAAGCGTTAGCGTACACCACCCAGTAAGAAGCGTAGGAATTAATCAAAGAAACTCGACGGAAAACAAAATGAAGGAACGGTGACAGAGACCACTCTCCACCATTCTTCCCGTTGCCGTTTTAAGACGGAACTTGCGACCCTGCGTGGGCGCGTGGCTCCCCCTCAGCACGGTCACAGCCAGCCCTCCCCACGCCGCTCACCTGGAGGGAGGAGGGTGACGAGGCCGCTGCCCCATCCCCATGTCCTCCGCTCCCGCTGGCCAGGCTGCAGGGGAGCGGACACTGGGACGCGGCTGAAGGTCACTGACTGCGGACGACAGAGAGGCGCGCTCAGCTGGGACCACCCACCTCTGGGCTGTTAGGCGAGGGGGAAGAAACGTCTCTCTGGATCTGGGATGTATCACTCTAGATCTCAGAGCAGAAAGGGACTTAACACATGGAATGCAGTGCTTCCAAAGCCTTAGGAAGGTTTGAGCTCATGACTGAACCTCCAAACATAACTCTCAGAATGATCCTCTGCCGAAAACAGCACGGCCACTATTGAG